ATTTAGGCTTGAATTGGCAAAATTTGAATTTTGGCGTTTTCCGGTTGATAGGTGAGATTTTGATATAGGGGTCGGAATGGAATTCCAGAAGTTGCAGTAGGTCTGTGATGTCATTTGGGATGTGTGTGTAAAATTTCAGGTCATTCGGACGTGGTTTGATAGACTTTTTGAACAAAAGCGTAATTCGGAAGATTTTTGGAACCTTAGGCTTGAATCCGGTGTGTTTTCGTTGATTCGATGTTGTTTAAGGTGTTTTGAAGATTGGTATAAGTTTGATAGTGGTATATGACTTGTTTGTGCTTTTGGCTGAGGTCCCGGGGGCCTCGGGGTGATTTCGAATGGTTGACGGAAGATTTGAGTTTGGTTTTGGCAGCTGAAGATTTCCCGTTGATGTCATAACCGCACATGCGGCTAGGGGATCGCAGGTGCGGGCTCGCAGAAGCACCCAGATGGTCGCAGATGCGGAATTGGCCATGTGGAGCTGGGACCGCAGAAGCGGCTGCTCGATCGCACCTGCGGTAGCGCAGGTACGACTTCTTGATCGTAGATGCGAAAATGGACGCATTAGTGAAAACTGCAGATGTGGTGCATTTGACCGCAGAAGCGGAGGAAGGGCCGCAGGTGCGAAAACCCTGGCCCAGAAAGTATATAAACCCTCATTCGCGATTTTCAGCCTTTCTTCACCATTTTAAATCAATTTTTGGAGCTTTTGGGGGATGTTGAAGAGGGAATCAGAGGGAACTCCATTGAGGTAAGAATTTTGATCATAAAACTCGTTCCTATGGTGTTATTTCATTGATTAGGCTTGAAATTTATGGAAATTTGTGGGTAAATATTGAAGAAACTAAGGCTTGATATTGGAGACCTTTGAGCAAGGGTTGGAGGGGTCATTTGTGGTCGGATTTTAGTACTTTTGATATGTATGAACTCGTGGGGAGATAAGAAGTTTATTGATGTAAATTTTATCAAATTCCGAGACGTGGGCTCGGGGGTCGGGTTTGGTTAATTTCGGGACTTGCGTTGTATTGGGAATTGTTCCCTTAGCATATTTTGATGGTTATGTACTGATTTTGGTTAGATTTGGAGCATCCGGAGGCCGATTCGAGGGGTAAAGGCATCACGGGCTAGAGTTTGGACCGGATAGAGGTAAGTAATGATTGTAAATGATGTCCTGAGGGTATGAAACCCCGGATTACACATCGTTGTGCTATTTAGAGGTGATGCACATGCTAGATTACGAGCGTAGGGTCGTGCACCATTGGGAATTGTGACTTAGTCCGTCCCGTATGACTGTTTTACCGCGTATTTGATTGAAAACTATTTACTATCATAATGTTTTGGGTTGAATGCCATATTTGGGCCTCGTGCCAACTGTTTGGACCCTTAGGGGATTTTTACTACTATTCCTCACTATTTGATTTTATATTTGTACTCAATCATGCTATTTTATACTGTTTTCATAACTCAACCATGTTTACTCTGTTTTGACATCTTAAGTGATATTTCGAGCTGAGCATCATATTTTACTGTGCCCGAGTGGTTTTTAGAGATTTCTGACTGAGTAGGGCCGAGGGCCTGTGTTGTGAGGTTACTACGGGATCGGGCTGCACGCCGCAGCGGTATTGAGTTGATTCATGATTATGAGGCCGATGGCCTGAGTTGTACGCCACAAGGTGGCTTGATATGAGGTCGAGAGCCTTTTTTGATTATGCCACGAGATGGCTTGATATTGTGCTTGGGCGGTAAGGGGCCCCTCCCGGAGTCTATACACCCCCACTGAGCAAGGGTACCCAGTGTGATATGTGATATAGCCCGAGGGGCTAATGCTGTTCCGTGTTGTTGCCCGGGGGGCTGATTCTGTTGACATTTTTGCCAGGGGCTAACTTATGCATCTATATCTTCTTCCTATTTTCATTTACTCATGTGAACTATTAAAAGATGTTTTAAAAAGTCTTTGCTGAACTAAGGTGCTTTTCCATAAGTTTTCACTGATTTATTGCATTGTATTGGCTTTATACTGCCTCTTTGTAGCATTTTGCTGTGTTTTACGTGTTTTTCTTATCGCTCAGCTGCCTTTACTTTTATTACTTACTGAGTTGGCATACTCACATTACTCCCTGCACCCTGTGTGCAGATACAGGAGCCTCGGGTCCTGCTAGCGAGGGCTGATTGCTTCCAGCGGGCTATTCGGAGTTCACTAGGTAGCTGCTCGGCGTTTGCAGCCCAGTGTTTCTCCCTCCTATCTTTACTTTCACTTGTACTGGATTCTGTAATAGACTGTGTAGTCCTTTTTCCATACTCTTAGACTTATGTTAGATGCTCATGACTGGTGACACCCCGATGTCAGGCTGTGTTTATTTTCGCGTTTGTTCTGTTTCACTTTATTTTGGGATTTATCATCTGTTAATGATTTAAATTGAATTATTATAACTGTTAAAAATGGATTGGAAGTTTGTTTCGGCTGGCCTTGTTTCACGATAGGCATCATCACGACCTGGTCCGATTTAGGGTCGTGAGAGTTACCATCAAATTGGGAAATATATGTTAAAAAAGACATCTCAAGTGTTTTGTAAGTATTTGGACACCCTTTTTTATCAACAAAAGGTTGACTAATGAAGAAGGATTAGGGGTGGTCTGGGTCAAATTAGAAATAAAAAAAATTTGGGGTCAAATTTAAAATACTAAAAATAAAATATAAAAACCATCTTCTAATCCACGATTTTCCATATTTTCTCTTTCTTCTCTTTTCAAAACAACACTCGATTTCCCCCTAAACTTTTCTAACTTTTCTCTCAAATTCAATCTCCAAACTCAAGAGTACAATAGGGCTTCAAAAATCAGCTCCATTCCGTTCAAGTTTGCTTTGAAGTCGAGATTTCATCATCAAGGTAAGTTTTTTTTTCTTTTTTTATCATATTGATAAACCCTAAACTTGTTATTTCAACCTAAATTAATTTTTGGGGGTGTTTTTGTATCTTCTTGTTGTTGTATAGTTTTTGTGCCTAAATTCTGGAGTTGTTGTGTAGTTGATATTTTTGACCGAAAATTTGATATTTTTATGTTGTTTAATTGTAGTCGTTGATGTGGTTGTTTCACGTGCCCATAAAATTAGTTGTTGTGATATTGAAACAGCTATATTGTTCTATTTTGGGTTTGTGGAAAACTTTTTTGCCCGGATGTTTCAGACTCAGTTGAGCGTTTCATGTTGTTAATGTTGTTGTATGTTGTGAAGTTATTGTAATATTTCTCTGGGTTTGATTAATGATATTTTGAGCTGAGTGTTTGAAACATCTCATTAAGATGTTTGAGGCTTCATATAAGATATTTGAAACATCCGTAAGGATGTTTAACGATCCATGAGATGTTTCACCAAAAGATACATGATTATCACAATGAGATGGTTGATTATTTTAGCGATTAAAAATATCATTGATAGAGACATTCAAATAAAGAAGTTTGGAGAACTATAATACGAACATTGCTAGCTTGCTTTCAAACTCCATCTAACTAGCTAGAAACTTAAATTACTATATCTTGCTTAGCATTTGTAGATGGCAGAAAATTAATTTTACCTCATAAGCTCAATCTTGTATGACCATTCAATGAAGCACCTTTAGAGATATTTGAAATATCTCGGTAAGATGTTTCAAACATCTTAATGAGATGTTTGAAACATCTTATATGAGACTTCACACTGAGATGTTTTACCAAAGAATACTTAAATATTTATAGTTTTATTTTTTTATGTGTTAGGAATAAATTATTTATTTATTTTATTGGTGGTCGTTACTTGTTTGTGTGTGCAGATAAAATGGCAATGGGACGTGTGTCAAAGAGAGGTGAAAGAGGAAAAGATAAATCTCCTTCCAAAAGATCTAGCAAAAGAATTAAGACATCTCAAAAGGATGAGCTACAAGAATCAATTGTAGCTGAAGTGGAAGTCAAATCTCTCCGGGTAGTAGAAGGAGAGAATACTGGAGAAGAAGAAAAAAGAGAACGAAAATGAAGAGGAAATTGAGAAAGAAAATAATGAGGAAACAAAGAATGGACTAGGAGGGAATGCTAGAGAAGCGGAAACAGATAAAGAAGAAGAAGAAGAAGAAGAAGAAGAAGAAGAAGAAGAAGAAGAAGAAGAAGATGATGACTGTAAAGAGATCTTTTTTATTATTAAATTAATTATTCCTTTGCCTTTAATTAATCAACACCTTTAAATCATGTACAGGATGAGATGCCTGAGGATGAGTCTGACACTTGCGAGGTTGAAATCTTAAAGCTTCGATCGGAACTTTCACCCTTAAAGTACAAGACATTTTTAGATGATAATGAGACCTTCAACCTGAAGATCACTATGAGATCTTCATTAAGATTAGCAGGTATGGGTGAGTTTCGAAAGTTGTTGCAGGATGAGGGCCTTGAAAACAAGTTTAGGAGTAGTCCTTTCGGGCACTTTTTGGATTTGCCTGAGAGGCCACTATTTCAAGCATCTATAGTGCATGGCCTTCTACTCCATAGAGTATTGTGTGAGACGACCCAGAGTTATAGTTCGATTATAAAAGTTTACCAGTTTGCTTCGACCTTCGTGAGTACACCATAATGACTGGACTCAACTATGGACATTCTTACACGAATTCGAAGCTTAAAAAGAACCTTCTTGATGGTGAAGAATTGTGAAAACTTATTGCCAAAAGAAAAAGGTCTGTAACTGGTAAAATAGTGCTTGAGTTGATCAAATCTGAATCCAAAAAAAAAAAAAAATACAAGTATGCATTATGCTTGATTTGGTTTGTCCACTGTATTTTATTGGCAAAGGATTCGAATATAATTTGGTTTGTCCACTGTATTTTATTGGCAAAGGATTCGAACTGTGGTGTGTCCGAAACTACAGTCAGATTGGCCTCCACAGAAGAGGCTTTCTACAGTTATCCATGGGGCTGAAATAGTTTCCGGTTGACTATTGATTATTTTATGAAAGATATGAAAGAGTGTCAACAATATAAGGCTGACTCGTATAATCTCTATGGATTTCCATGGGCTTTCATGGTAACTAAATAAATCGTATAACCTTTACAATTCATGAATACACGAGGAACAATCTAGGAAAAAAAGAAAGAAAGATTGCAAGTTCCAAAAGGAGCATGCCTCTGCTGATGTATCCCTGTCACAGTGTATATTAATTTTACAACAACATAAACAAGTATTCCTCTCAAAAGAAAATATCTGTTTGCTTTGATTGAGCCTTAAGGTCTTTCAACTTCTTCAGTATGTTGGTAAAATAATCCTGCAGATATTTCTCCAGTGAACTGACGTCTTTTGCATCCACACCGAGAAGGCTATATGTCTCAGTCATAGGAACTGAGAAGACAGTATCGCTTGTCAAAACCTGGAAATTGCCACCAGACCGAAAACATTAGCTGTCTTTTGCCATCTAACACTCCAGCAAGGGGGAAATGCACAATTTGTACATGAGTTTATCCCGTATTATATTATTTTCTACTGCTTAGACACAGATTAGAAGCTGTTGCATACGAAAACATAAAAAGAACGACATGGTCTTTACTAGTAAAAAGTGCGAGTGTGGCTGTGCTTCAAGTAAATATGAGTAACTTCTCATGGAAACGAGAATTTGGAAAATCACGTAAATCAATCAAAACAAGCACTATACCTCAGTGTGAATTGACTTTGCTAATTAAAGATCAAAAGTTGTTCTGGTAAAATGTCACCATAATCTGAACGATAAACTGTGCAATTAAATCTTTTACTTATTATAATGCAGATTTGTCAAACATGGAAACAAAGTAAAAAAGCAAAAATTCCGTGGCAGCTAAATTGCGAAGGAATGATGGAACAAAGAGAATACAATCTGTATATATGGTTATCTATTCAATGGACACTAAGAATAGCACATTCTAAAATTTCATCCAAACTCCTCATATTTAAAAGCGTTACCTTTTGAGAATAGTAAGAATAGCATATTCTAAGACTTCATCCTTGCCCCGTCACCCCAACTCGGCAGTTGTTAAAAGAGTTACATTTTTCCCTAACTTAAGAGTAGGATGATTTTTTGGAAAGAACATCGCAAACAACTAGAAGAAAGGAAGTGATCTAGTCGAAGAAAAGAGATGATGTAGCAGATACACTGAACAGCCGAAACAAGAAGATAGAATTGATATTCTAGTCGCATCAGACTGCATTTTCTAACGAAGAAACGCTCCTTAACCAAAGATGAAAAAATACAAAATGTAAAGCTAGAAGAAATTTCAACCTCTGAAAATGCCAATCTATCAGCAACATCATTTGTCCACTCAAACAACCGAGTCAGCTGGCGTGTCAATCGCAAAACTGAGACAGGCACTGTAGTCACATTGGCATCTTGGCCGGCAAGTCTCTCGCACAATGTTATCACCTGATTCAATGAGTATTTACTATAAAGAAGGTAATAAACATCAACCAAACAGGAGAAAACGGAGAGAATAACAGAGACAGAAAAAGCAACAAAAAAGTAGTTTACGAAATGAAAAGGAGCTTACTCTAGCCTTTGTGGGAAACTTACTTCAAGAGTTAGGGTATCTAAGTTCAAAATAATTAGTAATGGTTTGACGATGGGAAACGATATTGTGATTTAGAATACGTGGATTGACCTTTTTTCTTATTGTCTAGTATATATAAAAGATCTAGAGTATCTTTAGCAGAAAGCTGATGGCCTAACTCCTAAGGAAGCTTCAAAATGAACTTGGTTTTGAGTTAATTAAGCTTTTGATATTAACAGCATCCGGTGTTGCTTACCCCAATTCCAGAAACAAAAAGTACCACAAAAGACTACATTGTAAATTGCCAAGGAAACTAATAGTAATGCTTAAAATGGAAATCCACTTACCTCTTGGGTTGTCCATGCCCGAGGGCCAGCAAAAGTGAGAAGCTTCCCGTTAATATTCTCATTGCGTAAAGCTATGAATGTCAAGCGAGCAATATCCTGAAAGCAATGTAGTATAGAATTATTCATCAATTACGTTAAATAGGCTCAAAAGAAAGTAAGTGGAAAATTTACTTGGGTGTCCATGTATGCTATTCGAGTGGGAGCATCAGTTCCCCATACAGATTTCTCTTCAAGTATAGGCACTGCATATTGACCGATAAGGCCCTGGAGAAAATGAAAATAACTTTTAAAGTACTAAGACAATGAATAATATGACTAAAGGACAATAGACATGGAAAAGTAAATATCTGTGGAAAGAACACCTTATCGGTTGGATTAAAAACTAATTGTAGCAGTAGCTGTGACTTTTTTCCAATCGGTAAGAGTTAATGAATAAGAACAAAACGAGCACTCCATTATAAAGTTCACAGAGGGCATACCTATGCTCACAGTACCCTAGGTTCTCTTTCTAAGGTACATAGTAGTAGTTCATAACTCAAACGAACCTCTCAACTTTGTCAATAATAAGAACATAACATGACAAGCTTTTCTGCTTTTGCATTATGAATTTCCAGTCGCAACATCTAGTGCTTCAACTAGTATACTGATGGGCTTTTGCACTCTAAGGTGTCCATTTAGGATGCCCTATCATTAAGTCCGTGATTTGTACATCTTTTGAGCTTAAGAAATGCTTCCTATTTTCAATAAGTTTACCAAAATATTTTCATGAATCTAACTTATTGCAATACCTTTAAAGAGTTTTCACATTCAATGATATTTGTTTCAGCATTGTGGTTAAAATGTACAAATATAGGGCATACTTTTAGCATGAGTAATAAAATCATTAGAGGATGATACCTGCATGAAGCCACATAGCCGAATTACGATGTGGTTGAGGCCTGAATCCCGGAGAAACTTCTCTGTACAGTGTTTGATCTCCATAAGGGGAACTTCAGGATGCTTGTCGCAGTTGTGAATGGAGAAAAAGATAAATTTTTGAATGCCCATGGCTTTAGCACATTGTATAAGTGCAACTTTTCCTTCCCAATCTACCTAAAATGAATGGCTAAAGTAAATAAGCTTTATAAGCCACAACAACAATAATGTAAATAAGAGAAAACAGTAGTGGCAGCATGACAATTATCAAGGCAGTTAAATAATCAGAGCAATTTTCATTCTAATGAGAACCTTAAGTATAATTTGAAGTAAATTATTCACCCCCTTTTTTGCCCAGTAGGTATGCTTACAGTCTTTATAGGCTCCTCAGGACGTCCAGTAGCACAATCAATAACTGTATGGATTCCAATCAATGTTGCTGGAATTGTTTCAGGTTTGCTTAAATCCGCCTGTCCAGAAATCAGTTTAGCTTGATAATTACACAATTTTTTTAAAATTAAAGAAACAAGAATAATCTGGAATAACAAGGACAAGAATGAAGGGAGTAGGAGGTTTAGTAGTTGGCAGTATTTGTACTTACATTGACAACAGTGGCGCCCCAATCACGAAGAAAATCAGCAGGAGCAGGCCTAGGCCTGACCAGACATCTAACATCGTACCCCTCGTCCAGTGCTCTTCTAACTACTTGCCTTCCCAATGTACCTGTCGCACCCACAACTAGTATACTAGTCGGCCTCACTGGCGTTCCGGGAGCTAAATTCACCGCAGCTGGAGCAGCCTGAGCGTTGCACACCACCTTAGGTACCGAACAACTTTTGCCTACTGTCACCAAAGAAATTAATAAACCCAAGAAAATTAGTGGGTGATGTTGGAATCATGTTTTGTTAACATCCCAAAAGACTGTAAAATAATTACCTTTGTTGGTGTAGGTGGGAAAATTGAGAGGGGAAAGAGTAGAATCATCAAACATGGTGCGCCATGACAAGGAAGAGAGCTTGCGGGAGGAAAGAGGACTGAGTTTAGTAGGGGTGGTAAGCTGGGCGTAGAGGGTGGAAGCCATTAGAGAGTGAGAAATCAAAGAATGGAGATTTGGGCAAGAATTGTTGCCAACTGTATAACTGATAAATATAGAATGGGAAACAAAGAAGAAGCCACGTCGTTATCTTATTCTTTGGTTATGGATTGAGTGATTATGTATGGTTCCCCGCCTTCCACCTCAGCTTTCCCGGGTTTTAAACTTTAAACCCTCAACCTTCTTCAATTTCACTTTCTACTGCTTACTACCTTCATTCTTTTGATAGTGACATTTCATTACAATGAGAAAATGTTGTTTCGTAACAGCTACGTACATTTTTAGTGCTATTTTAAAGAATTGGAAGTCAACCATTTATTAAGTATAATTTTTTTTTGTTGGGATTAAAATAACATGATGCATACGGGAGCTAACAATACAAAGTTTGATGGACGATAAATCAGAGTATAAAGGAAAAGGCCAATACATATACGGACTCTTAAAGTTGCCAGAAAATCTCATTTAGACACTTGAACTTAACTTTGTTCCAATTGGACACAATAATATGTTCATCACCATACCTATTAGGCACAACTAGCTCACTTGGCACATAACGTGGGTCGCACAACATTTTAGCGCGTGAATGTTATTGCATGTGGACTCTAATGGTAATATTTTAAAAACAAATTAAATATATACCTATTTAGACCCACGCGACTTTACATAAGCCCTAATTTCATTCCCTTTCCTTTAGTTCTGCCCCAATTGCTTCCAATTTAGGTCGAGAGACATCTTCTTATTTCCAATTCTTCTTCGTTTCGTTGTAATTCTTCTGAATTTCTTTCTAATTCTTGCCTCTTTTCTTCGTCAAAGCAGTTTTAAATTGGAAAGGTAAGCTTAATTCACATAAATCGAAGAGAATAAACTGGAAATACAGTGAGAATCGAAGGTAATTGATGGAATTTTTCTAGGGATTTTTCGGACCTCTAATCGCCATTCTTCAATTGGGGTTAACGGGGAGAAAGAGTAATGAGCGGGTCTTTTAATTTAAATTGGGGTGACTACATAGAAATCTGATGTGGCGTATTAAAACAGTTGGCATCTTTTAATTAGTTAGCTTTCCACGTTAGTTGCGCTTAAAAACACGCGCTTCACTTAATATAACACATGACCGAGTTTTGAGCTAGTTGTGCCTAATAGGTATGGTTATGAACATAGTATTGTGTTCAATTGGAACAAAGCTAAGTTCAAGTGTCTAAATGGGATCTTCTGGCAACTTTAAGGGTCCGTATATGTATTTGGCCAAAGGAAAAATATACTAAACTATGCAAAATAACTTATTGTGGTTTGGTCAATCGACTTACATATGATCTATCACTAATATAAAAAGAGAAAACAAAATTTTTGAGGGAATAATCTCCCCTAAACATGATTCTCGTAAAGAATACATTGTGTAGATTGTTGTTGTTCTTGTTGTGAGAAGAAAACATCAATTTATGGTCCTCCAAGAAAAGAATAAGACATATGAAAGTGATTTATTAAGAGCCTTTTTGCCTTCCATCAATAAATAGAGTCCTATTAGATTAAAATTTCAGGGCAAAACACTAACAAATTTTGTAGGTTATTACAAATGAATACATATATAGAAATAATTTAAACGGACTTTGTCTTCAAATGTGTAGCAGAAGAAAAAAAAAACTGCACTAAAAGCTCTTGTATTCCCAAAATGGCCACTGTAGAAATTGAACCCACTGATAACCAAGCATAGACAGAATCATACTTGTGAAATATGACCTAACGAAATGAGTACCATCTCTTGGTGTAAACGTGAAGAAAGTAATACTATTAGAAAGAAAACAAACAGAACAAAGTTAATGGCTTCTGCGATAATATTATACAAGTAGCTTCTCTCTATTTTACCACAGGCCTTAACATGAATGTGACTTTGTGAGTTATGAGCACGTCGATATCCTCAAAATTCCAGTGGGAAAATCATTAGTATATAAACAGTTGAAATACATTTAGACTAACTAGCAATGACTGATTGAGCTGAAAATAAATTCAAAGGAAAATCTGAGTACTATATACAACTTAATTTTCCTCAAAAAAAAAAAAAAAGGAAAAAACCCTATAAACATGAAACGCCAACAAAAGGAACCATCAATCAATAATCCAAGAACGTATGCAGTATAAAGTTGGTTTTTTCCAACTCATCCTGCAGTGTTTGTATTTAAATGCATATAATTTCAATGATTCTCTTGCCTTAAAAATCTGTACTCTTCAACTAGCAAAACTGGAGAACTAAACTCCTAAACTGCACTTGGCCTTATATACAAATTTCTGCTCAATACCATTATCTTGGTATCGACCAATGGAAGCTAGTACTCAAAATGAGAACCTGCCCCATCTGCAACTCGTCTTTTATCCGAGAAAATCTCTTCCATTTCTGACTGTTCTGTTTTATAAGGTCTGCTCGAATCTGCATCTCCGTCTTTAGCAAGCCATCTTCCTTAAATTTCAAGTTCATTTTCCATATATTCTGTATCAGACCATTCTTGCTCTTCTTCACTAGTCTGACCATCAGTCACTTCAACCATATCTCTCCTAGCAATATTAGTAGAAGAACCGGTATCTATTTCAGAGATGATAGAAGGAGTTCCAAATAAACTTGCATCTTCTCTATCATTGGAATCAGAATCTGCACAAATGCATGCTGATGGATTTTCATGAAACTCTCCCCTGCCTGGTTTTACCTCCATTGGCTCTCCCATAAAACCTATTTGAGACGTTCGAACTTGTGAGGCAAACTCTTCCCATGTCATGTTATTTCGACTAAGGAACAACTTATAAAGCTTCTTAGCATTTGGGCGGATAGTTGGTTTGTGACCAAAATATCTCCTGCAACACGAAAAGGACGTTTAAGAAGTTTTGCCCTTTCCCGGATTAACAGACTAGCAAATAATGTAACATGGTGTTTTGGTAAAGAATATGGCACAGCCTATCGTTTAAATTTTTTATCAAATCAGCTAACTGATTCAGGTCGAAAACACCAAGTAGCTTACCTTCTTCCAGCAAGCATTCTTGCCATATTACCGTTGTTATTGGACACGAATACATCACTCTCATCACAAACCATGAAATCTAATGCAGCCATCCTAGAAGAGAAGGAAGAGAATGGTGCCAACTCCTCCTTGCTAGCAATTGTTTCTTTGGAATAAAAATTTGGAAATAGAGCCTTAAGAGGAGCCAATGTCTCCTCTCCTCCATAAATTTCTCCAGATGCCACATAAATATGAACATCATTACCGAAACCAAGTGCTCTAAGCATAAGGCCAATTTCCTCAGGAGTGAGAGGGCATTTTCCATGCCTTCGTTCCTTATCTGGGTTTCTTGCCTGCAAGTTATGCCAAAGAAGCAATACAATATTAACTATAAGTAAGGGCAATATATAAACTAATGGTTACTAAAATAAGTAGAGACTCACATGTAACGTCTTCCACCTCTTCCGTATTTTACCTAGTTCTTTCGTTTCCTTGTCCCCTCCACCGTAATAGCATCCAGAAAATGCAAGCATATCTGGTTCAAACCTAGCACGTCGTAAACAAGTTTTTAGCAAGCATATTCCAATTTAGAATATTGACTTAGGTCATGACAAGATCAACATTCATATCCTAAAGGAATGTCATTGAATCTGAAATAGCACCAAAACACACATAGGTAATCCAGTTTAACAAATCCGCAATATATACAACACCAATATGGCTGAGCTTTTGCCTTTCTATTACATCACCAAATCTAGGCAACAAAAATCAATTTTGAGTACGAGTGGTTTGCTGTTGTTGTTGTTTTAAGAAAGATATAAAATTACCTTTTTTTAAAAAAAATTCATGAACAAAGAAAAGAACATTTGCATAAAACATCTTTGGAGATAAATGTTAATCAAATTACCTCAGATGCAAGGCAACAAAGTGCTTGCTTTTCATTCTTATCCTTTCAACCAATTTTCTGCCCATTTCAATAATGGGATCAGTAAATTTCAATGCATGAAAATTGACTCTACATCTCAGCTTCTGCATATCTATATCCAATCGATTGGAAAGCCTGTAATCAAATTTTGTTAGCTGAACAGCCTGCATCAGAACAAAGCAAAGAGTCAATAAACTGAGAATCTGCGTCTGAAAACAAACTATTTAATCTAGATATGTTTAAAGGTCCAGTAGGAGAAACCCGAAGAAAACAATGTGCAATAAATCATACAGCTACTCTGTACAATAAAACGTTGAATCTACCAGTGCGGATGGTGCAGATTTCAGCTTAAAAAAACTTAAAGTTCATGGATGATTCACACAAAAATTCTGCAGGTTGCCTACTCAATTACACAGACATCGTCAAGAAGATAAGTTTGACTTGCAATTTTTCCTGGAAATAAGGTGGAGCTTGCGTTGTATGGATAGTAAATCTGCGTCTAGCTTTCAGTAGCTTGAAGTTTCAAATCTTGAACTACTATGACTTGGTTGTGCATTAGAGCAACATGGATGGGGAAAATACTACATTTCAGCACGAGTTGCCACATACATGTATAATGCAGCAAGAGTAACAGAATACTAAGAACTTAGGGAATCATGTGATATGCATATATTTCATGTCATGGGATGATATCATGTTCTGATGCACTGGATAAGGCAAACATGCCCCTTTAATCTATAAAGGACTTACATGCTTTTTCTTTAAAATAGGCAGGATGCGAGTTTGATAACACTTGGCATTGCACTTCCTTGGAACACGCGTTGTATATGGAGTTATGACTTTATCTCCAATTCTTGGAATATCCCTAATAATTTTGACATCTTTTGAGAGGTGTGATATAAACCGGTCGACATCAAAAATTTCAGAGAAGTTGCTGCACGAAGAAAGAAATGATTAAGCCTCATGAATACAGTACACTATATCAAACAAAAAGATGGCTCACAAAACGCCTTTGTGCAAAGATTATTCTAAATAAAACCTTGAATCTTTCCAGTAGGATTTCTGGTCAAGTTTTGGAACTACAAGGACGGCATTCAAGATATGAGCTGCAACAACTGCATCTACAATCTGCATCCAGCACGAATA